CTCTACAGTACTCTACTGAACCTGCTTTATTTAGTGTTTTAATGGCTGAAATCACCTGGTCCAACTGTTTTGGACAGGAAAAGACCTCTGCAGATAATTCAGCTCCCAGTAAAAACTTCCTGAATGTCTGGATCTAAAGTTGTCAGAGAAAAAAGGTGAGCACAAATTAGCTGGTGCTGGGCTAGCGAGCTGTCTCCAACATGCCAAACAGTAGTCACATTTCCATGACAGTTTTGCGCAAAATAAATGCAATATTTGTAAAGTTTCCATTAAAAGTTGTTTTGCGTATGAGCAGTAATTCTCGTAAAATCTCGTCCCACGATACTCCATTTTTTTTGTGGAAGTAAGATGGACATTCCAAATCTTTTGTGAGCTGGAACAATCATCTTGGTTGCCACTGCTGCTGTTGCAGTAGTCTACAACCGAAGACGAAGAGAGCGAGTGGTATTCCAAAGGCAAAGTCCTTATGTGTGGCAGCGACCACGAATAAAGTATTTCTGGGAGAGGATCATGAACGAGGAATTCACCAATGTCATGTCCGGTGACGTATATTTGCGAAAAAGTGTTTCCATTACACTTTTGCGATATACTTCTATATCGACACGTCTGAAAAACCACCTCATGAGAGCGTAAAAACTTTTTCTCAATATTTGAGAGATTTTTCGAAATGTGGGTGTTTCCATTACCAGTTTTTTATTATATTTAGGTTTTGCGCATTTCTAGGGTTAATGGAAACGCACTTGGTGTCAGAGAAACAATGATTTGTAACATGGAACTGATTTATTCAGTGTTTTCACCGGCTTAAATCACCTGGTCTATTTGTCTTGGGGCAGAGGAGACCTCTGTGAGTAATTCAGCTCACAGGAAGAACCTCTTGAATGTCTGGATCAGAAAATAGGTGAGTACAGATTAAGTCATCAGAGAAAATAGGGTGAAAACACACTTGCAGGTGCTAGGTGAGCAGCCTGTCTGTGACATATCAAACAATGTTGGAGAAACACTGATTTGTAATGTGAAACTGCTTTACTCTATTTTTTTCTGGAGAAAAAGAGACCTATACGGATTCCAGCTCCTGGCTCCAAGTAAAAATCTCCTGAACAATGAACTCGGAAGGAATGCCAAACAGGAGAAGTTTCAGCTGGTTGCAATCTGCAATCCTCACTGATAGATTACACTTAATCCCCTAAATTTTACACACTGTTACTGTAAATCAAAACATTAGAATGACATACATTTAATTTAAAATGTCCTGTGCTCAACCTGGTCTTTGTTGCAGCCTGGGTTAGACCTTTATAAACTAATAATGATCTACTACCACTGACCCATTGCATACTGTAAAAAGACACTTTGAGTTGGTTTGACAGCTGCTATAAAATAAACTTGACTTGTCTTGAGTACAAAACAACTGCCACTATAAACTGGATGTGACTGACAAACAAAAGTCTGTGGCTTTACCAGCCACACCGTGCCATCATGAAGTGCATTTGTACAGTGTCTGACTGGAAATGATTCTTCTATCTTAACTATTGCTGCTGGTGCTACGGTTGTTAGCGTCGTCATCACTAACCCAAAGTGGCTTGAAAAACCAATCAGTTTTTTTTTTTTTTTTTTTTTTCCAGGAGTTAATCAGGGCCTCCCATTGTGTGGATAAAAAGACAGAGGAGGAATAATGACAACAGGAAGTGGATCAGAAAAAGTGGTCTTTTGATTATAAAAATAACATTTATACTAAAGATTAGCATTGTTGATCCAACCTTGGCTACCCCTCACCCAGCATCGACCAGGGACTGCTTCTGCAGCCTTCATTAAACAGCTATTTATTACTCACAAACTTCACCCTGTCTGATTGACAGAGAAGTAATTGCTGCCAAAAAAATGCATGTTTTTTTTTTTTTTTACAAGCTGACATTACCATGGAAAGAGGGTGGCGATCGATAGACATTGCAGCAGTTTGAATCAATAATGTCTTCCCTGAGTCACACTCTCCAATCTGTGGTGCTTGATTCGACCAGAGAGGGAGGGGTTACACTTCCTCTGGTCATAGACAAACCATAATTCTTGCCTCCCTGCTGCCTTTACAATTACACTGGTTGTATTAAAGCAATTTTTCATTCAAAAGTCCCAAGGCTAAGAGTAAACAAATAGGCTGAGCACAGAATTCGTGGTCCTGGGCCTGTTCACGACTCCCTTACACACTCTCCTCTCTCGCTCTGCATTTCCCATACTCGCATTACAGGTCGAGTCAGGTCCTCCACGAGGGAACCAACCCACCAGGAAATTACACCCAGAGAAAGTCAATAGTTATCTAGGCAGATGTATATGTGTGAGTGTGTTGAAAACAAACATTGGAGAAGAACTGAAACTATGTATTTTAAATGTATTTTCATTATTGATTTATGTTTCAGTTATTTGACGAATTACTTAATCAATAAAATATCACAAGTAGTGACTAAAATGCATCAAATGTTAGCAGAGCATAAAGTGGTGTGTCAGAATTGCTTCAACAGTTACAAAAGCCAAAAAAAAAAGTATTCCACTTATTATGATATGAAACTGAGACAAGCAAGCAATTCTTCCATGTGTGAGGGGACAATAAAACTGACTGAATATCAGCTAAAACCGCTCATTTTATCCCCAAAAATCCAGTTGTTGTTTTTTTTAAAATGATGAGCCATTATCTAGCTCAGAGATTGTTCCTCTCAAGATTTTTCCTGGTAAGGTCTGGTAAAACTGAACAACAAATCTCAAGGTGTATCATCAACTGTGCCTGAATAAATCAAGGTTATGGAGCATTAAATTGAGTGTGCATGTCCTGGGGAAGGGATAAACTTGAAAAATGGGATCTCTCCTTCATCAAATATAACCAACCAATCAAATATTTCACTTTGTTCACCAAGGATGTGTCTGATGGGCACTTTCCCTTGGCTTGCTGGCTTTTGCAAGAAATCACAGGAACCAGACACAAACATTTAAATAGTGTGGTAGACAGGCGGGTCCTAATGCACCCCGACCGTATATTTCTCAGACTTGGATTGCTGTAAACATACAAAGTGTCTAGTATACAAATTTCCATGTTCCCAGCTCGAAATATTGTCCAAAAGGTCTGTTAGGCATCTCTGTGGCCATCTTGGATTTCCCACAAAAATTGAAAATCGGCATAATTTTTTAACCAGACATGATACAGAAACAAATTATTTCATTTTCTGTGTATCTGAAAATTGGGAAATTGACTAAGAGTTTCTGTCATTTTATTAACAAGTTATATATACACTTATGTCATGGTTATTACTAACACAATCTGTATTTTCTTTCCTTTTTGTAAAATTAGATGGAACTGGTTGGAGTTAATCATGCCAAACTCAAAGCTCTGGCTTATTGACAGACATCTTATTGAACCTTCTGATTTACCTTATCATAGCACCCATTTAAGTATAAGTTAATCTTATTTTCTATTTTTTTTTTCAAGTTTTATTGTATTTTAATTGTTAAAATTCATGACAATAACCCTCTTAATTATTTCTCCTTGCAAAAGTTACACAGAAAAATGGGTTGATTCGTCTCTGTATGATGCCTAGTTGAAAAGTTATGCAGATTTCCGATTTTGGTCAAAAATTCAAGATGGACAAAACCATTGCTATGACACACACCCTTAACACACAATATTTCACCTTGGAAAAATCTGTTTATTAGATGCCAAAGCTGCAATGATTATTCAACTAATCAATTAGTTGATTTGTAGATTTGAAGAAAATTAATCACCTGCTATTTTATTGATTGGTTAATCGTTTCAGTCATTTTTCAAGCAAAAATGTCAAACAATTGCTGGTTCCAGCTTCTTAAATGTGAGAATCTGATGCTTTTCTTTGTCATCTATTACAGCAGTCTTTGAATTTTGGACAGTTGATTGGACAAAAGAAGCAAACTCAATATGTCACTTTGGGTGCTGGAAAATGTGCTGAGCTTTTTTTCACAGTTTTTGGGTATTTTATTGACTAAACGATTAATCCTGAAAATAGCTGGCAGCTTAGTCGATGATGAAAATAATTATCAATTGCAGCCCTACTAGATACCTTGAGGGTTACAAAAAATGAAGTTAGAAAAATACATCAGTGGGGTGCTTGAGGACCCCACTAGACTGAAAGTATAACAGTGTTTAATTTTAATTTCAAATATTCAGTGACTGCCAATATTTATTTTCTCTGATCACAGACCTAAAAAATGTTTGATGAATCAGTACATCACAATTACCTGACCTAAACCAAGGTGAAGTGCTTTTGATAGGAAACATCAAGCAGTCAGTGAGTCAGTGCATCTTCAATCTCCTGTGGGTGTTAAGGCTGACAGTCGCCAACCTTTAGATTTCTTGACAAAAGGAAAGCTCTAGATTCATTATGTAGAGTCTGCACTCCCTTTAGATACCTTACCCAATTAAGCATTACCATCATTTACTGTTAATAATGTTTAGTCTATTAAAAAATACCATCAGAGGCAATAAACACAGTACAGCATGCTGTAACCTTGCCTTCATATTAACTCGGCCTTCCAGTATTATTGAATATGCTTCATTATTAAAGTGAAGTTTATATCAGATAAGGGTGTCTAAACACATGACCTGGATGCAGTAAACTCTTTAACATACAGTAATACATGATCATTAACAGAGACAGATTAACACCAGATCACAGAAACACCACAACAAGCACATGGGATTCGCTGGCAAGCAAATGGGTCACAAACACGTATGGGGTTATTTCAACAAAGTGTGGGTGTGACAAGAGAAGGGCAGCGACCCACGAGAAAAGGAAAGACTGCTTCTTCAGGCAATGGATTGAAGACAACACCAAAACAAAGTTCATGCAGCACCAAGGGGACATTAATCTTCTGGGTACAAGGACCCAGGAATAAGGGAAGAGTTTTAAATAATACCAAAAAAAAGAAAAAAATACAGGGGACTGAGATTCCCCAGAGGTAAAATAAAAATGAAATTAAATAAAACTTGCCATGTAGTTTGCTGTGGTCACACCCGGGTATGCAAGATCAAAACGGGTAACCAGTGCAGGCTGCAGGTAAGAAACGAAAGACAAGATCACTAGCCAGTATACTAAAGAGAAAGAGAGAGGGAGAGAGAGGGAGAGAGAGAGAGAGGGAAGGAGAGAGAGAGAGAGAGAGAGAGAGAAGGGAGCCTAATGCATCAGGATAAAAAAAGCATTAGTAATGGTTACACTGTCACATGTTGAGTGGGAGAGGGGAAACATGTTCAAAGGGGTTAAGACTGGATGAGGATGAGAGGGAGTGGATCAGTCTGGCTTCCTGCATTATTTCTGTCAATGAGGAAGAGCCTCTTACCCAGTGGGAGATATTCCCATCACAGACCGACCGCAAATGTGCAAAGTCTAATTCACTGATGATCACTACGGCAATAAACAAAAGACTCACACTGATCTTAACCAAAAAAAAAATCAAAACAAAAATACAAAAACAATCAATTAACAGATACCAACATCGGCTGAATGATTGCCAACACTCAACCTACTGGAAAACACCCCTCCTGTGATGATTAAAGGGGAACTCCTGTATTTTTCAACCTGGACCCTATTTTACCATGTTTGTGCTTCTAAGTGACCGGTGGCAAGGACAAGTTTTTAAATTGGTCAAGGATTGAGGGAGAGTGCTGCAGCCAGCAGCGATGATTCAGGCTGCAAAGAAACCTCTTGGGGCCGGTTAGGGCTGCACGGTATATGCGGTAGATGGTAGAAATGATATAAATTTGGCCCACGGTAGAGATTTGCGCTCTACCGTCCTACTGTCGATGACGTCATCGCACCTGCCTCAGTGTGAAAATGGCTGTGAGCACAGAGACAGCGGAGCAAGAGGAGCTGGTTCACGTCCGTGATTTAGCGTAGCACGTGCAACATGTGTTGCTGGAGAACTTGTGAGTGAGTGAGTTAATGTTTTATGAACAGCCTCGGACTTCTCAGACTCTTTTAGCGACTTACCGCTCAGAGGGAACTCATTCAGCGTCTCCTCTGGCAGCAGCACAGCGTCTCTCCCTCCCCTCTCTCGCCGTGCGCACATGGGAGTTGGTTTTCGGCAAGAGAGTTTGTCATAAACCTTTGGTAATGTAAACCTATGTGACGCTAGGGGCTCCACAAAAAACTCCATATGTGAATGTGTGATAGTTGTGGTATCATCGCAGCCTGTCACAGGTTACAGCGTGATGATTAGAGGAGAAATGGCAGAGCATAAAGGTCCAGGTGGAAAAAACACAACTCAGTCATTTAGGATTTTGCTAAAAGAAGGAAATTACCTTTTGATATAGATCCCAGGGGACATTTTGCACCATAGAGTACTGGGTTTTAATTTTGAGTTTTGAGATCTGCATTCTGCACAATAAATGCTCTAAAAAATACATTATATCTTTGCTTTTGTTGTTGTTGGTTTTTTTTTTTTTAATCAATTTAGCTTTGCTAAGGGACTACAAAACCCATTCAGAAACACTTCTATTATAACTTTTACACTTAAATTTATACCGCGATATATACTGTTACCGTGAAGGGATTCGATTTATACCGTGATATAAATTTTAGGTCATACTGCCCATCCCTAGGGCCGGTATACCTCACCAGTTCATGTCCACTAAAAGTTCTTTTTTGCCTCCAATTGGCAAGGATTCTGCAGAGAAACTAACAGTTTTCTGTATCTTTTGCTTGTTCCAATCTGTTTTGTGTCCGAGTCTCGCTTAAGGAGAATTATTTCTGAATTCTTTTTCTGAATTCCCCAGACTTTCACATTGTCAAAATCAGCAAAATATTCAGCCATGAAAGTGAAAATCTTAATGATAAAAGTAAAAAGGACACTGTTTTCAACTATCGCTCACTATTCTGCCCTCCCTGAGCAACTCTTGTCACACTACTGCCCCCTTTAGGTGAAGGCATGCATGCTAGAAGGGGCAGCACACTCACATTTCCACCATTTTCTTCATGCAACAAGTCACCTATCATGAGATTTCAGAATAAAACTTCTCCTTTGGCAAGACTTGAACACAAAACAGAACTGACTGAACAAAAGGTTTGGAAAAACGATTAATTTCTCTGGAGGATTCTTTCTGTAATGTCATTAGACACTCATAATAACAATCTGAGCCTGTCAGTGGCAAACCAGCACTTTTAATGGACGCACACTGATGGGGCTCACCTGCCAGAAATGGTTACATTACAGCCTGTTTGCAGCTGTCGGCTGCAGTGCTCTCTCTGAATACTGGACCAATTTCAACAATTGTTGTTCCCATGAGTCACTTAGACACAAAAACATTGGAGAGTAGGATCCTGGTTAAAAAGTTCCCCTTTAACACAAAGGTGTAGAGACAGCACATCTGTACTGAAAAGCTTATTCAGGCTTTCTCACTGCTGGGACCTAAAATTGTAAACAGCTTTCTTAAATAACTACAGTGAAACACAATCACGCCAAAGGCTGGTTTAAGGTTGTTTGAGCGATATCACTGCTGTGTGTTACATTTACATAAACAATGAGCTCATTAACTTTCAAGACATTTTACAATGAATGACAGTAGGTCAGATGTCACTGACAGTCTGCTGGATTACATCATGGCACCACAGACATCGCTTTATGACACAACAAAGGAAGAGGGTGTAGACAGAGCAGAAGCACTCAGAGCTCCAGAGTAGATGACAGTGCATGATGTCCAACATGTCAAAATTAAACAATGAGGATTATAGGATCTGGTCTTATATGCAAAGACAAAAGCATTTACATCATTATCGAGCAACAATACTACAAGACAATTACTGTGCTCATTCATATTTGATCCTATTAAGCTTCTGTTGTTATGCACCAGGCCAGTCCAAAGATCTCTTCTACATCAAAGTCAAGGCCAAGTGTCCAACTTAATGCGTTCTAACCAACATCATCTAATACACAATGGTTTCTTTTATGATCACATTTAAAGGGGAACACCACCTAAATTAAGAATTTCAATATGTTGTTTCCATAGTCTAGGAAAGTTCAAGCAATATTGTGATGTGACCTAATTGCTCTCAAAGCCAGTAACCGGAGAGATTAATTCTCAACCTTGTGATGTCATCGGGTTTAAAGTCTGGAGCTGCTCCATAAACAATAACTGGGGGCCTGATTTGTGGACTGACATAATGTTTGTTTTCTTTTTTATACCCAAATAAGCTTTATTCTACTGTTGTGACCTCAGCTCCGAAACAGAAAATGTACTCATATACTAGCATCCCTGGGTGCTCTTAGTGTCATCTAGAACTGTTTTCAATTTATCGTCTGTGGAGCAGCTCCAGACTTTATACCCTATGACATCACAAATTCGAGTTTTACCACTCTAATTTTTGGATCTGGGAGAGAGTTGTTCACTTTTACTAATATTTTTGGACTGTCTTAGACCATAGGATTAACATGTATGAATTTTTAAAATGGGTGAAGTTCCCCATTAATACAAATTTTGAAATGACCAGTGATATATATTAAAGTTCAACCTTAAGACCATGAAGAAAATAGTACTTGTAAAGTCAGCTACACCAGAGGATACTGAAATAATGTCTTGGCATAGTGTAGTCATAGAGTGTCATAGATGTTTCTATTAAAGAGTCACTTCCTTCAATAACAATATATTCTTTGAATAATAACATTAGGGAGAATTATTTTGCTGCATATGTGCCACATCAGATCACATCCATATCAGGTTATTTCCTATGGCTATTTTTCTTCCGACAATATATTCATGTCCATGTCTCCATAGACAAGGTTGTTTACCACATTCGTGAATATATTCTAGCCTGACATTTAAACCATAACTAAATATTTTTCCAATGATGTAAAACTGCACAGGCTGAAAATATTAAGATTCATTTACTGTGCATTTTTCAGCGGTATAACACATTTCTACAATAAGTATAAATGACAATGTTGAGACTCATTCTGCAAGTGCTACTCCACATTCAGCCTGAGCTTCTGTGAACCAAAACACAGCAAGTACGCACATAATTCATTCGCCATTCACTGCAACAACTAATAATTTGCCAGTGATCTCAAACATTGCCTGAAATAAACTGCAGACACACACACACAGTAAAATTTCTTATCATTTCCAACAGTGCCCTCTGCTGGCTCAAACCTGAGCAAACACGCAACCACTCCACAACAAACTCCATCTGCCACCTGAACCACCATCTGATCTTTAACACAACTCTGTTATCGACCTGGGTGAACAATACAGTGACTTATACTGTATCTATACATTAATCTCTTAACACAGCAGAAATGTTTATTTCTTCAATTATCGACTCTTCATGGAGGCGTGCTCTTTGTGGGCAGAGACAGGCACTGAGATGTTAAGAGGCTGGACTCTAGGTCAGGATACACACCGGCACTTTATGAATCAAGACAATGCAGAGGGAGGATGTGTGCGAGGAATGGTAGAGGCAGAGAGAAGGAGGGATTGGAAAAAGTATTTCATTATATCATCTTCTTATGATACACAAAATCTGCACGCTGACAACCAGATTATTGCCACCAATCTGTGCTTCTGTGGAACATGAAAGCACATCAACAACAGGGGGAAAACAGTAAAACAAGTAGGAGGAAACATCTTGGAATATTTCACACGACGGCCATGTTGGCAGTCGTTCATGGTGCTGATTTGTGATGAGGGTCGGAGGGTCATGGTTTCTATGCCAAGTGCAAGAGCCCATGTTTGGAAGGATGGGGGAGAGGCTGGGGTTCTAACCTTGAGAGGAGAGATGTGGGCATGGGACACGTAGCCGTGAACATTCTCGATCTCGGACAGGTTCTTCTCGGACACGTGCACAAGCTCAGGGGCGCGCACCTCGTTGGTGAGCCGCGGGAATCCCTGGTCAAGAGGAGGTGAGTCGTCTTCTTGGTACTGGTACTGCTGAGAGTGAAGAAGGGAGATAGACAGGTAGAGAGAGAAAAGGGTGGACATTGAGGGAGAAAGACATGGACAAAAAAAAGTGATGAGATAAGTATACGCTGTGTTGCTGCTCTGGAAATGAGAGGAGAAAAGGCAAAGAATAATTGATCTTAATAAACTATGTATATTACACTGGCAAATTCAGTTTCATATCATCGTTTTAACGTTTCCTTTTCTTGGTGAGATTATTATACAATTCTTAAATATTGTGACTTCTGAAAAGAATAATGTTACATGAATGTACATGTCATGAAAAAACAACGACCAGTCAAAGAGGACACAGATGACACTTTATAAACATCAACATGGTAAAACTATAAGGCACCCCAAGAGGCAGTCAATTCAGATGAGGTTAGAATTAAAGTTGCATTTGTTGCATACCATTATTCATGAATACGAAATATCAGTTATACATGGTCAGAGTCTCAGACTTAGAATACAGTATATGTGTGTATTTTTAACCTTCTGTAGATACTGATTTGGTTCCTTTAAAAATACTGGGGAGGGTTTGTGATAAAATGCTGACAAAAGTTTAAAAGTTTTTCAATAGACAATAAATTTCAAGCTACAAACTCTACTAAGTCTTTCAGTTATCTATAAAGAACAAGCTTTTGTTTGATGCAAACATTTTTCCCCACCTTACATAACAACACCGAGGCCTCAAAATAACTATGGATTAAATTACCCATCCCAGTCTCAAAAAGAAAATGCTGACATTTACATTTCTGTTAACCAAGAATATGTTACATTTGTACGTTTCATACTATCATGACATTTCTAAAGTGACGTCACATACGAGCTGACTTTGTCATTGGGAGGTAGAGGAGATGGCTGATGGGGTGTTACCTAGGCCAGAAACCTGCCAAGCTTCAGACCACTGTTTGAGTGCAACAAATAAAAATTGGTGTCACTCTCTTTAATCTATGCTTCATTTTCATGAATTAATTTTAATTTTTGTGATGAAAATCAACAGTCGGACATCGAAAGCCAAGAAGTGCCGTGCTTGTAATTACCTTCAAATGCCGCATGAGCAACGGGCTGGTAAACTTCAGCAAATAGTCTCTACCAGAATGTTTCACTAGCCAGCAAATACACTTACACTGGAGCAGCTTCAACTGATCCACATGAGTAAAGGTTATGGTTCGATGCTGTTTGACAGGCAGGTAGGAGGCTTAGTTATCTGTGAGTGTAGCAGTGCTGTAAGTAAACAGTCTGAACTCAGCAGAGTTTTCTCTGACAGAGATGAAAGTTTAGTTTTAATCACCAACTCTGTGAGATATGAGTTTAAACCTCCAGACTGTCATGTTGCAGATTAAGAAAGAATGCAGGCTTCAATTAAGTTATTTGTCTGCTTCTTAACAGTGAGATGGATAAGTCAGACTTTACAATGAACATGATGGGTACAAATCGTAGTTGATTATTTATTTGTTATTCTAGTTATTTATGGTGTCAAAGTTTTTGAGAGCATAAACAGAGAGATGTTGAGCTTTTCAAATGATGATCAGTAAGTGTGTGCTTGTAAATCAGCCCTTAAACCTGTCAGAAATGCTGAAGAAATTACAGTTTGTAAGTGGTCAGAAATGATTTGTATTTGTAGACAAAATTTGTCTAAATTTAATTTTTATACAACCTGTCACTTTGATTTTAATTTCTGATACACAAATTAGCCTCACTGGCTTAGTTTGGGGATAAAAACCACAGAAAACATACTGATTAAAAGGAACAACTCAAATGTCATGAATTTTTGTCAAATAAAACTAGAAAAAACTATGAAGGATAAAAGGACTAAAATGTTGACTAAAACATTTTCGTCTTAAGGCTAAGACTAAATCTAAAATAGCTGTCAAAATTAACCCTGCCCCAAACCTAGGTACAGTACAGGCCAAAAGTTTGGACACACCTTCTCATTCAATGCGTTTTCTTTATTTTCATGACTATTTACATTGTAGATTCTCACTGAAGGCATCAAAACTATGAATGAACACATGTGGAGTTATGTACTTAACAAAAAAGGTGAAACAACTGAAAACATGTTTTATATTCTAGATTCTTCAAAATAGCCACCCTTTGCTCTGATTACTGCTTTGCACACTCTTGGCATTCTCTCCATGAGCTTCAAGAGGTAGTCACCTGAAATGGTTTCCACTTCACAGGTGTGCCTTATCAGGGTTAATTAGTGGAATTTCTTGCTTTATCAATGGGGTTGGGACCATCAGTTGTGTTGTGCAGAAGTCAGGTTAATACACAGCCGACAGCCCTATTGGACAACTGTTAAAATTCATATTATGGCAAGAACCAATCAGCTAACTAAAGAAAAACGAGTGGCCATCATTACTTTAAGAAATGAAGGTCAGTCAGTCCGGAAAATTGCAAAAACTTTAAATGTGTCCCCAAGTGGAGTCGCAAAAACCATCAAGCGCTACAACGAAACTGGCACACATGAGGACCAACCCAGGAAAGGAAGACCAAGAGTCACCTCTGCTTCTGAGGATAAGTTCATCCGAGTCACCAGCCTCAGAAATGGCAAGTTAACAGCAGCTCAGATCAGAGACCAGATGAATGCCACACAGAGTTCTAGCAGCAGACCCATCTCTAGAACAACTGTTAAGAGGAGACTGCGCCAATCAGGCCTTCATGGTCAAATAGCTGCTAGGAAACCACTGCTAAGGAGAGGCAACAAGCAGAAGAGATTTGTTTGGGCCAAGAAACACAAGGAATGGACATTATACCAGTGGAAATCTGTGCTTTGGTCTGATGAGTCCAAATTTGAGATCTTTGGTTCCAACCACCGTGTCTTTGTGAGACGCAGAAAAGGTGAACGGATGGATTCCACATGCCTGGTTCCCACTGTGAAGCATGGAGGAGGAGGTGTGATGGTGTGGGGGTGTTTTGCTGGTGACACTGTTGGGGATTTATTCAAAATTGAAGGCACACTGAACCAGCATGGCTACCACAGCATCCTGCAGCGTCATGCCATCCCATCCAGTTTGCGTTTAGTTGGACGATCATTTATTTTTCAACAGGACAATGACCCCAAACACACCTCCAGGCTGTGTAAGGGCTATTTGACCAAGAAGGAGAGTGATGGAGTGCTGCAGCAGATGACCTGGCCTCCACAGTCACCGGACCTGAACCCAATTGAGATGGTTTGGGGTGAGCTGGACCGCAGAGTGAAGGCAAAGGGGCCAACAAGTGCTAAACACCTCTGGGAACTCCTTCAAGACTGTTGGAAAACCATTTCAGGTGACTACCTCTTGAAGCTCATGGAGAGAATGCCAAGAGTGTGCAAAGCAGTAATCAGAGCAAAGGGTGGCTATTTTGAAGAAACTAGAATATAAAACATGTTTTCAGTTATTTCACCTTTTTTTGTTAAGTACATAACTCCACATGTGTTTATTCATAGTTTTGATGCCTTCAGTGAGAATCTACAATGTAAATAGTCATGAAAATAAAGAAAACGCATTGAATGAGAAGGTGTGTCCAAACTTTTGGCCTGTACTGTATATTAAGCCAAAACATGATCTTTCTGTTTTTATACCCAAACCTTACCACTGTTAACCACAGCGTTGTTGAAACGTAAATATTAATGATGTGCAAATGTAACGTATCAGTTGTTTGCAGAAATGTATGATACCAACATTTTTTGGGAAATGGGGAAGATAATTTGACACCATGTCATCAAAACTTTACTATTACATTATAAGCTTTTGATTGCAGGGCTCAAGAATCGGCCTGTATGGTTGTCCTGATGATGTGTTAAGGCCCTGTTCACTTGAGTATATTACATGTTGGTAAATATACACTTATAATGGACATATACACATAATGTTGATATCATTTTGAGACATTTTTTTGGTATGAATATTCATTTAAAAGTACACAAGAGGAAATTTAACATCATAATACGAGTAGGATCTTTTTTGTTTTTTTCTCAAACTAGAGGTCTGCCTCCCTTAATATTTTGCAGACTTTGGGGGCTTCCATTCTTCCTTGGTGTGGGGTTTTTGTAAAATATGTTTACCCATCCCAACTAATTGTTTCAGTACAGAACCTAACAACTTCAATTTTGTAACTTTAAAAAAAAAAGGCATAGTACATTGAAATCCCTGCTAATGCTGAAGTTCTGTGAAAACAACAGATTCACATGTCACAAAATGGATCCCATGATGAAAAATGAAAAATGTCAAAATGAACAATATAAATATAATGATAACAGAGATGGTCGTGAGAGTCAACAATGGTTCTAAGTGTGTTTGACTAAATGGTTACAGGATGTGATGAATTAGGAGTCAAATTTCAGGTTACAGTGCGTCAACATGATGACATATTACTTGAACTACACTGGTGGTAAAAACTGAGAAATTAATCATGACGTCACATATCATGTCGGCAGATTAATTACTGTGGTTGATCGCCTGAATGATACTGTGTGCAATTTGGAGTGGGAAAAAAACACTACCCCCCTCCTCCCCTCTCTCACCCAAGGAGCGTTCATCAAGGCAGGGTTCATGCAGGGTAGGGGCTGGCCGTTGTGGGGTGACCCCTGTACTGCTGGTGGCCTGTTCTGGAGAGAGCAACAGGACCATGTGTAACCACCAAGAGCAAACACAACAGGTACGACTGAACAATGAAGTCCATTAACAATCACTGTCATCCAAGATCCAAAGCATAGAACCAGTACGCATCTAGTGTTTATCAAGCCCTGTTAAGTTAAAACCACGCCCACTCCTGCATGATGAACGATGTCAAGGCTTGATGATTGGCTGCCAGCCTACTGTTGCTTGTAGTGCAGCACACTGTGCACCCTGTGAAACAGCAAAGTTTTCATCAGTGACTTTGAACACCACCCAAAACCAAACTGACTGGTACTGAGGAACTCTAACCCCTCTCATCGCTCTTTCTTGTTACATTACCTCCTTCATGTATGGTGTCTTATTTACATGTGTTTGTCACCTCTGTATTTATCTGTTTTTACTAATACTCATTCTTGGAATTTGAGTTGATAAAGCCATCAAAGGGATGCTTTGCTGATTTTCAACCAGCTCTGTCATCACAGTGTGGGCAATGTGTGCAGTTGAACAGTTTTGCCCTTCCCCCACTGCTGCGAGCACCTGGAGCATCTGCCTTTGGAGGTCCACCAAACTGTTGCCTGCACACACTGCAATGACATAGAGCTGGCTGAAAGCCATACTTTTTTTTTTTCCTTTAACCACCCATATCCATATTTTCCAAGCTACTGCAGCTGACATATTTCATGGAGATGCATCTTAAGTGGCAGGACCACCCCTGACTCCCCACCACATCAGCACTGCTGAGGCAGAGGGGCTGTGGGGTACATCCATGGTTGTGCTAGCTAGCATCAGTCTCTTTCAATGGCGCTAGGACTAGGCTGGCAGCCAATCACAGGGCCGTGATGTCTGGCAGCCCGTCTCCATCATGCAGAAATGGCCGTGGTTTCATCTAAAGTGGGTTGGAAAAACGGTAGATGCAACCAGCAGTACACTCATTCAGCAGCAAACACCACCAGGAGGCTTAGAAGCTCATTTGCAGGTACCGGAAAATACAATACTTTAGGAATCTGTATTGTTCAGTACTAACACAACAGATGGCGAAGGCATGAGCCGCCCTGCTCTGCTCTAACTGGTTTACCCCGACATTCTTACCCTTACCCCAACATATCTCACTCCTCTTACCTAAACCTTACCAATCCAACCAACACAGGCAACAAGTACTTGCCAGTAAGAGGGAGAGTAGGGTGGGTCATGCCTTTGCCATCCTAGGAAAAAGAATTGGCATGCAGGACAGATGCGGCGAGGGTATTTCTGATTCAGAGTACAAACTGAAACAAACACAAACAAAATCTGACAGATGGGTAGACACAGAGCAACAATCTTAACATCCCATGGTACAGTTATACACTCAGTAAAATGTAATTGTTGGCTGATAGATCTGTGATAAAGAGCATTCTGCTATCTAATATTCTACTATTTTGAGATTGAAGAGAAACAGCCAACGGAGATGGACCCTGGTGTGAAGGCAACATTTGACCAAACCATCAAACAAAGACAAAGAGCATGCCTCTCAAATTCAATTTATACACACAGAGAAGGACTGGACAGAAATCAGAAGATACAACAGACTAAGAGAATAAGGGGTTGTGCAAAGAGAAGTGATCTTCATGCAAAGAGTGTGGCTAGCTGCATCGCTGAGATGCTGTAACACCCGAGTGACCACAGTTATTTCTGACAATGCCTAAAGGCAGCAATGCAAAGAGATGCATTCTAATGTTAGGAGGACAGCGCTCTGGGCCGGTGATATATCAGCTACCAGGGATACTAAAAATAGAAGTGCATTCTGTGATTGTGCCTGAGGTGTGCTCTCATGCATGCATTATCTACTGTATAATCCTCTCAGATGTAAGATAAATAAAAAGGTAGTGTGACAAAGGAACTTTATTGTTAAGTAAATATTGTCATTTTCTGTTTATGTTAAATACACAATATAAAAGATGGACAGAAGAATATATGTGATACATTTACCACTGCAGGTAATTTTAACAGTGCAGGAAAGAAGTAGTTTGGGTGGGTATATGTACATGTAGGGGTTAACTGACAGATGTGGATAACAGATAATAATGATGGATGAGCTAAACAGTAAGTTTCATTATTCCTGTTTCCATACGATTTTTCTCTTAACATCCTAAAAGCTCGAATACACCACCATGCTGAGGCAACTCCTCCAGGCAGCTGTGTGGTGCATTTATGTGCTGGTGGGTAGCTGGGCCATCCAAGATTTCACAATCAGCAGTTTGGCCGTGATGGATTCATGAGTTACGGTCTTAGAGGCTCAAATGTACGTGTGTAATGTAATTTGTAGTGAGGCTCAGCAAAATGAATACACCTGAAGCTGTGTCAACATTAAGCAGCGTTTTTATGTGAAAACGACTCGCATCCAAGCAGCCTATTCATTCTGTTCAGTCCTCTGTTTACAGTGGAACATCTACAACATAAAAAAAGGCTAAATCTCTTCTTCTGCATCCTTCTTTCAGGTGGTAAAACACAAAATTGTGCATCACAGCCAGTGGGACAGACAGCTGGTTGAGCTAGTTATCATTTTATAGTCACAACCTTGTCTGACAAAATCAACATAAAACAGATGATTGACAACAGCTGTGCTGTGAGATCGCCTATATCAACATTTAATATGCATGATTACAGAAAAAGTTAAATGACAGAATATTATCTTTTTAACTCTGAGGCCACACAGAGCCTGCCTGTGACTGAGCAGCTACACACACAGCCAGTTAACATTACTCTGCTGAGGCATGGCCCGTTACACCTGCGTTCAGTCCCCTCCTGCTCTCTGTGGTCACATATACTGTTTTAGTGCAGCTGAATTCAACACAGAATTGTTGTTATTTACATACTACTCTGTAAGTAATTTGTTATAATATAATACAAAGTGGAGACCCTCTAGCACTGGGGTCATTCCAGCCATGATACAGCAACCTGCAACTTGGGGGGGCTCTATCACCTTTCCTACTTCCAACTCCCCTACTTCCAGTCTTAGAACCCAGCCCTCATTTTGATCTCAATTACACACCTTTATTGTTTAATGACTGCATCTTGCATGGTTTCGAAGTTATCGTGTTGGCAAAATCTAACCACAGACCAGGCAGACAAAATACTGGCAAAATACTCAAAACAGCTTCTGTGGTAGTTTCCACTACAAATGGTGTCACCAGGACCCAACTTTTGCCAACGGTAACACACACACAGTCTCATTAGGTGAAAACAATACCAGCTGTTGCAAACCAAAATACACTATTGCACAATTTCAGATTGTTACTTAATGATGTTGCCCTATCAAAATTTAAGAGATCATTAGAGTGACTGCAATTCATCATGGGAGAACATGAACCAAGTTTCATTACAATACATCCGATAGTTATCAATAACTGCATTAAATGAGGCACATTAGTTATCGCTTTTTGGACCTTAAAGGTGTCTTTGTGGAAAACCCTGTTGCATTTAGTGGATTTCTGTCATTTGTAACTGCAATTGTTGCATTAGGCCGATGTCGTGGCTCTGTATCATAATCAGAACAGTGCACTGGGAATGGCACTGCCAAAACTGCTTAAGAGGAAGAAAAGAGCCAGGACTGTCCAGCCATTTTAATGCAATAGTCTGCCACTAAAGAAAACAAAACATTCTGCAATGAAGCATACAGAACAATGGAAAACTGATGAGGTCAGTATCAGTCTCCTTCTCCCTGCATTTCAGTGTTTTAATATAGTTTTATATTGCCAGCTGTTGTTTAGCACACTGACTACACACAGTCCAGCCATATACTATGTTTCAACCTAGTTTTGTTTCCCCACAGCAGGAACATGTCAGGCAGTGCCCTGATTTTATGCAGCTGTGCGAACAGGTGAATATTGTTTCTTTTGCATCCAAGCACATCCAATTTCTCTAAAAGGTTGCCCACATTAACATTATATGATGAGGATGGTATGACCTCTGCCTCATTTTGAGCCAGAAAAAAACCCTACCTCTCCTTTTAATATTTGGTGACAGAGGGGGCGATAGTCTAACAAAGTCTAATAAAAGATTTGCAGAGACTAAAAACCACCAAACGCAACGCCTCTGCATCATTCACTACAATCAGGAGCAGACATCTCATAGGGTGTAAGGTTGTCAGGTATTATTCCTTACTTAATCACAATGCATAATTTTCAAATAAAGTGAAGTTTCAGTTTCACTTTTCTCCTTCTGACTCTCTATGCAGTCTCCCCTGTTCTTACTCGCCCACACATGGTGCTTTGTGTTTCTCTCCCTCAGTCTTTCTGTCTCTGTATCTCTTCTCCTCAGTGCTGTTGTTGACACATTTATCATAAAAGATGTATCACCAAAAAAACAAACAAACAAAAAAAAACTTGATTGAATACACTTCATTGAAAATGCAATGCAGCATTTCACATTCCAATAGCATGAGTCTGCATTAAAAGGCATCCTCTTCCCTTGTTTTGTCTAGTAAAGGCAGTTTCTAGCAGTAGTTGCTGAATACATACATAGGTTTATTTAAAAAGTCAGCAACTTGTGTACAGTTTTATTATGACAGCGCCCCCACCCCGCCTCCTATGAGTCTGCGAGACTAACCCTGCGTTGCACCACTGTCCATCCTCACTATTACATAGCTTTAGTCTAAACCTAATCCCCGATTCCAGCCTTCACCTGTTACATAAATCATGATAAATTCACTTCCTGGCATTTTGAGGACCATCAGGGTAACTGCAGTTAAATGAATGTCCCAAGCCCGAACACCTACAAGCGAAACAGTTTATTCTAAACATAGCTACAAGAACATACACACACGCAAACACACACACAGTACATCGTGCGCTCACTTGTTCTCAGCCATCCTCTGAACAGAAGATGACACGAGGAGGCCAGAAGCAGTCTGTCAGCCGTAGGGCTGTATAGGCAGTTCCCAAACACAGATGCTGTTTCCACTGGGGTGTTGCTACAGGGGGAACAAGGCAGCTACCACTGCTGTTTGGCTTAC